CTTGCCGCGGCGTCAGCTGTTCGCTCCTCGCTGCTTCAAACGTGACGTTCTAACACTTTGGTTGGATTGATACCAACCTCGCCGTTCCCAACCGCTTCCAACGCCTGGTTACCAGGTAGCTGCGCTGATCTCCAGTCTGCCTACCCACGTTGTGAATTTGATCTTGAACAGACGAGATCAAATAGGTTAGGGCCATTCTGAAAGTTGAGTCTAACGGCGGTGATAACACACAATTATGTATGAAAAGAAAAAATAAAAACTCACAAGGTCCAACGTATCAAAGAAAAAAGGTAACAAACTTTTTTATGTCTATTTGCTCAGTACATAGGACTATGTCTACTTCCCGACCCGTTCTGGCGGATTGTGGCACGACTACTTTTGCTAGGCAACTTTAAGGCTTCCAGTTGTCTGCTCTCTAAGAAATTTGTGTTTTCGGTGTGTCTTTGGAAAGTCGAAAAAAAACTATTTCTGGGTCTGATTCAAGTCGCTCTTCAAACTACTTGTTCTTGGTTGAAGAAGAGTCCAGAAGTTGCGTGAATGCCGGTCAGCTATCTTGACGCGGTTTCAACACTGGGCGCTCATCTCTGCTTGTCGTCTGGCTGAACTCTTTCGCCGTCCGCTGCTCAAATCTAACTCAAAACTGATTTCTGTCGGTTGGGGTTCCGCTTTTATTGACGCAGTCAAAACTGGGGTGGGTCTGTCGGCGCCAGGGGTTTTTCGATAATTCTAAATACGTATCCACCCTTCTTATTTCTGGTTAGGGTTTCATTCCTTTCCATTTTTCGGTAACTCACTCCCACTCCCTTACTGTGCCTCTGGGGGCGTGTGCCTGCTTCCCCACTTCTTCGTATCGGCATCTCACACTTACACCTCTGACAGGGGGCGTCGACCGATTCTCCTCGTCGTCACGTAGCCGCTCTCGGCCAATGAGGTCCTAGTCGGGTATCTTTCCTCCTCCTTCGTGTGTCATGCCTTTGACCGCTTTTCGGCCAATGAGGTCCTGGTCGGGTATCTTTCCTTCTTCAATCACTTGAACGTAAAGAAAGAATTATTCTTAAAACCCGAAATATTTTTCGGCCCTAAATAATTATTAAATGGTTGATAAACCGTAAAAAACAAATCATATATCTATGAATATTTCTCTCAGCTCGTATGCATGGTGCCACACAGGAATGCGGATCACAAAACCTGCCAAATTTTAATGTATTCCCATTCTACAGAACCACTAAACAAAGACGGATTAATAAGGAAATATTTTTCATCAACAAGTTCTAACCAAACACTAAATTCATTGTATAAATAGATTCTACTAAATTCCTCTTACCATAAACGACATATATAGACAGTTACGCCCCTTCATTTTCATTGTTTTCATTTGTTCAAAAGTTTTTGAAAACCTCATCGGAACCGGTTAATGTAAAAACTAAGAATAGGAAAGCAATAAATTATTTTTCTAAAAAAGCAACAAAAAAAAAACCACTGAAAATCCAGTTGCAAGTAACAAAGTTTTAATTATTTGCAAAAATTCATATATTATAAATAAACATCTCTATATTAAATATTAGGTGTGTTTTTATTCCAATTCACTTTCTGTTATTACTATAAGATTTTGTACAGAATCTTACTAACAATTTTAATATATATATATATATATATATATATATATATATATAATGATGGAGAACATATAATATTCATTATAGCTGGTCATAGGACACCGTGCATGTAGCAAGTGTTCATACTTTAAATATGACGAATCACAAAAACATTTTCGCTGAATATAGTAGTAGCTAAGACACTGTCAATATTCAACATTTCAAAAAAATTGAACCTTGTTGTAGAATCCTGTACATAATATTATGTTAAACATGAATGAAGATGCAAACACCAGTTGAAAATAACAGATTACGGGAAAAAATCTGTTGAAAATCGAAGACGCTTCATAAGAAAATAAGAATCTGTGTAACAAGAGATCTTTTATTTATTTTTTTCTTGGAAATATGGTATTTACTACGTTAGGAACCTTTCCAAAGTAATTAGCGTCGAAGCCTCAGGTAGAATTGAGTGTCCACGAGTCGGCAGTGTTTCAGTATGTTATGGATGTTTAGAAAGGAATATTTTTTTTCTGTCGTTAGTGACAGTCAACTGTTGTACAGATGTGTATGTGAATGAGCAATGTAGGCGGAACTATAAAAAAAACAATGGAGAAATTTTGGGCTTGTCTGATCTCCATTAATCAACTCAAGATTTTTTTCTAACGGGGAGACGAAAATATATTTGACCAAACACATAACAAAACAGCACATCAAACCAGCATTTCTGTCCGTATTCTGATACACACACCTTCTCTCCCTTCATACGCAGACACACACACACACACACACATATATATATATATATATATATATATATATATATATATATATATATATATATACATATTTATTATTGCATGTATGTATCAGTATATGAATATGTAAAACCCTGAGTTTTGAACCTCTGCTACCACGCTGTTATATCCGACCAAACACCGAAAATGCTATGAAAATAAATGCAGGCAATAAACCCGGAAGGAAATCTCCAGCTATATGGCTGTCAACACAATTTTGCAGCAACTCCTGCAGTCAATACGCCACCAAATGTAATACCATGTATTCATTTGGATCGTGTCTCATCATCCGACAGTGGGGGTGCATGCAGTCTGGGTAGTACTCGCCATCCATATAACATCTCTCAGTCTTGCACCATGGAGATATGACCACCAAATTACTGAGTTTTGACCAAACAGGGTGCTAACTTTATCTTGTGACATAAACGCATGCCTATTCATTATAGATTTTTTTTTTAAATATTAATTGACCTATACATACAAATCATGTCTGTCCAATATACTAAGTTGTTTTATATCAGAATTAAAAATGGTAAACACTGAAAAGTACATTTCTTTGCATTCTTGTACATTAAACTGTCACTACAGTCGTAATGAAGAATTGCCTATTATATGTCTGTTAATTCAAAAGATGATGCCTTTTGCAACGATCAAACTATGTTCATACGTCCTTTTTTATTGTTGTGGTGTCCTCCCTCTAAATAGTATTAGACCCGTCCGCCTACTATAAGATTAGTAGGAGAGAAGGATTCGTGAATCAGTCGCACATACTGTTTATTGTTGTCAAACTCTCCGCCTAGACGGAGAAGAACTCGGACGATGCTTTGCCGTAGGGAAAAGTTTCGTCCGGGGAGGTAAACAGTCCCTTAACCCGTTTAGGCGGGTTCAAAGGGAATATTTTTGGCCAAGCCTACGGGCTTGGAGAAACCCACGTTAAACTCGGCCTTGTGACACATACATTCCTTGTGGGGGGGAATGATAAATATAAAAGTCGAATAGATTGTTCAACTATCGAACTCTCTGCCAAGGCGGAGAGGAACTCGGACGAAGCTTTCCCGCAGGTTTCCTCCGGGGAGGTAGACAGTCCCTGAACCCGTTTAGGCGGGTTCAAAGGGAATATTTTTGGCCGTGCCAACGAGCTCGGAGAACCCACAAGAAACCGGCCTTGTGTCACATACACCCTCTAGGGGGGACTGTTAAATATTAACAGTGAATTGATTGACCGCTAGTTCATTCGATTCACCCTCACTAATCGTGTAATACTATTCTGGTGTACTTACAGTTTTATATAAGATATATTTGAAAACCTGGTTTTTGTTAATACTTAACCATTTACTTTGTCACAACATCTTATAGTAAGTACACCAGAAGCGTATTACGCGACTATTGTATTTATTCCACAATTTATGGACCTGTAAATAAATGCGTTGTTTAAATGATCGAAAACATTGACTTGACCCAAAGTGTTGTGAGTTCAATCCTTGCCCTTGGAGTGTTATCAAGGCGATTTCACCAATATTGAGATATCGAAAGGCACGGTACCTGAAGAAGGTCGGAGCGCAAAATGGTCGAAACGTCGTGAATGTGACAGTAATGATTAAGTATACAGTAATTATGTAAATAGCATAAATATGATTTTTATTCTGCCATTACCTTTCGCTTCATTGTCGATGAATATTTCTTCTGAAAATACAAGTAAAGGACATTACTGAAGTAATATTTATAGTATTTTCAATATATTCCTCGAGAGAATCTGTTTGCAAATGATTTTTAAGATAATTATAATCATAAAAAATAACTATCATGTAATTAGCATTTTTTTAAAATGATATATTAAAGTTTCATTACTTTATATCAGATGGTTTCGGTCGATATTAAAAAAAAATAATTACGTTAGTCGAGATTGTCATATTAGATATCCAAACAATGTGACTTTAAACAAATCATGAATATAATGATGTCTGATATATCTACAGGAATGCATTCCAGCCTTCAGAAAGTTTATCGCTTCTTTAAATAAGCAATGAGATTTGAAACCAAGGAGACATAAGAGGAAATTAAAACTCTGTTTAATGCTATTTCACAAAAGCCAGTGTAACCTGAAGGGTGCGTATATCATTAGCGAAAAGTTGCCTGTTGTCTTCGTGACGACTTTCTGAAAGCAAGCCAAATATCTTGTTATTTAAAATGAACAAAATACAAAGAAATTTATAAAGAGGTTATTTTTTTTAGATATATATATATATACCTAAATCTGTATCCCCACTGACGAGGATCTGGCAAGAAACCAATTTTTTTTTTCTTTTTCTTTTTTCTTTTCTTTTGGTAATGCCGTTATAACAAACCCGAAGAAAAGTTGCTGTAGAGAACCTGTCTGTTTATTAAATGTATCTGAGAAGACGCATTACGAAAGAGATTTTTCTTTTTATATATTATTTATCGTAGCCATGTAACATTTTCCTTTTAGACACTCGCATAAAAAGTCTATCAAATATAAAGGTGAAAGGAGTACATTGTGTCTAAATTACGATGGATCGAATTTATTTAACACTAAATACTACAGAAAAAATATAGTCGAACATTTCAATTTAGATCTAAACTAAATCTAAGCTTACGGCCATATCACGTTGAAACACCGCTTCTCGTACGATCAGCGAAGTTAAACAACATCGAGCCTGGTTAGTAACTAGATGAGTGACCGCTTGAGAAGACGAGGTGTTGTAAGCTTGGATCGTGTAGTGGATAACGGTTCTAAATGAGTAATCGGAGTTCAAATACCGGTAAGGTTCTTTACAATTACTGACGCGCAAATACACTTGGAAATGTTTTTAAAGCTTCTCCTCTATGCTATGGGTTAAATATTAAGGCGTTTAATTGAAAATCATCATTATCCCCAAAGAATTATTAATACAATACTACCCCGAAAAAGGGTTATTCTTACAATCACGAAATATCTTTGACAATCCGTTAAATCAATCGATAGTTCTAAACTGAAAGCAAGTATTAAAAAATGTTTTTTTTACTAAATATTCACTCAGTACAAGACTTAAGAGCCACTCAAGGTGGAGATCACCGAATGAATTTGTTGTTCTTAATTAGATTGATTGAGTGATGCGATTCGATTTCGAATGGTGATCAGCAATTTGTTATTCAAACAAAATATTTTTAGATTGTAAGAATTATTTTGGCTGGTAATAATTAATTAATAGTGATACAGGTCTTACTAATTAATTCATAGCTGGTGCTATAATAGGTGGTTCCATAACTTTCCGAGGGTATTTGCTTGTAACTGAATATAACGAACTCAAATGAGCTGAATCTCAGCTCTCCGATTAACAATTCCGAGCCATTACACATTATGCCACACTCACCCCCAAGCTTACAGCACGAGTTATTCCCAAGGGGTCACCCATCAAGGTACTGACCGGGCCTAACATTGCTTAACTTCGGTGATCGTAAGGGAACCGTTGTTTCTATGTGTGTGTCTGTAAGGCCTGAGTAAAAAGAAACGACGGAATTTGTCATAAGAAAATGCACATCGTTATATATGAGCAAGAGAGAAAAATATTTTAAATATTGATTTCAAGTACAAAGTATTGAAGTTGACACTGGAAAAACACTAGCAAGGTTTTCAAATCTTGAATCAGATTTTCCTAAATCGCCAGGAAATTATTGGAGCACAATAGAATATGTTCAGAAATCAGTATACTTTATTATGGATGCATCTAAAGAAAATATCTGACAGACACATGTCTCTAAAGATGAAGTCCATGAAAGCTAAGAACGTGTAACATAACTACAGAATTTAAATAAAAAAGTAACAAATCAGAATCCTAAAACCGAAGGAAGGACATTTCTAAGGAGAAATAAACAATCAATTGGTGTTGTAGACAAAATGATCCTAGACATTTTTTCTCAAAGACAATGAAGAAAAAAACATATATATATATATATATATATATATATATATATATATATATATATATATGCAAGCAAATATATGGATATAGATCCGACAGTATGAAGAAAAATATGCAGGCATAATATCTATGTCACGCACGGTGAATACTAGACCTGGCTTTAATATTTCCCCTTTTCTAGCAAGATTAATGCTCGACAAACGTACATATATGTGACACCATTTAGGGGCACAAAAAGAAAAAAAGGAAAAACAAAGAAAGGAAAAAGAGAAAGGAAAGGAAGGAAAAGAGAGGCGAGACTTAAGCTTAGATGATAAAAGAAACCACCCACGACCGGGGACATTGACAATGTTATTTTGATAAGTAGCAAATGGTGAAAGGTTTCATTACCATTACAGAAAATTCTAAATGGATAAGAAAATCGACTGTGTTGTGGTGGCGGACTTGTGTTATCGGGGACAGATAACAGCCACTTAATGCTGGCGAACAACTAATTGACAAACCACAGACCGGCTAGCTAAACTCCGAGACATTTCGACAATGTTATTTTGATAATGGAAAAAGATGGTGAAAATTCTGACGGCAAATTGTCGTGGGGCTAGCTGAAAGGGTCCAGGTTGATACACAGTTTTTTTTAAATAGATAAAAAAAAATAACTGTGTCAGAGGGGGCAAACAATATTGTCGGGAAAGGATTTAATAGGTCGTCTGCTAACCGCACACGAAGCCAACCCTGGGTTAAGTCTTTGCCGTTTTGACAAGACATCTATGGGTGTTAGAATTCGGTTATGATAATAAAGCTATGTTATTGGCACCAGGAATGCAAATACGGCTAGGACAATGAAACTGTTTTTTTGGGACGGGGGTCGGCTGTGTTTCGCTAGACGACTACCCCACTTGAAAATTGGCATTGATAGACCCCAGGTGACATTGGGGATGAGAGCTGCGATTAAGGAAAGAAAAGGAAAAGAAAAAGATAATTTTTTTTTTGAGCAAGATATATTTTTTCCTAAAACAAAACTAGCCGTATCAAACCCACTCGGTTGGACGCCATTGGCCGAATGTCAACGAGGGACAGGTGGAGGTGATCACGTGACGCAAGGGGAGAAGCCCGCCGCCGCCTATTTAGAGGATAATTATGAGAGGTTGCTACGAAGAAGTGGGGAGAACCGTTGACACCCCTCCGAAGTATGGTGAGATATCCATATGAGAATAAGAGAAGGTGGGAGTAAGAGAAGACTTCCAAAAATGGAAAGGAGTGGATATGGATTTAGAATTATCGAGGAACCTTCAACCTCGACAAAGCCCACCCCGGTTTTGGTCGGCGTCCATATAAGCAAAGTCGCAGCGAGCAAAAAACAGTTCAATCCAGTGTTAAGTTCGGACTCTGGTTTTCCAGAGTACTCAGTTGAAGCAGGCCTTGCAGAGCTGACTTGAAAGATTCGCGCAACTTCCGAACTCATCTTCAATCCAAGAACAATTTATTTTGAACAGCGACTTAGATCCATACCACTAAAATAAGTTTTTCGACTATCGCCTGAAGACACACCAAGAACCAATTTCTTAAAGAACAGACAACTTAAGATGTTAAAACTCACCTAACAAAAACAACGTCTCACAATCCATATAGCGGGTCGGGAGATAGACGCAGTCCTATGTATCCAGCAACCAGATATAAAGTATTGTTATCCTTTTTTTGATACCTTGAACTTTTGAGTTATCATTTTATTTTCTTTTATGCATATTTGTGTGATACCACCCTCGTTTGAACTCAATTTGCATTACGGCCCCAACGACTGATTGATTTCGTCTGCCTAAGATCAATTCACAACGTGGGTAGGCGGACTAGAGATCAACCAGAAGTTGGAAACGAGTTGGGAACGACGAGGCTGATATCGGATCTGACCATATTCCCATCCGAATCACCAAAAGGTTAAAACGTCACATTTGGGTGCCGCGACCAATACCAAGCAAGTTGATCGTCACAGGACGGGACAACACGACTGACGCAGACAGGCGGACGTCACGTTTGGAGCGGCGACACCCGAACGAAGCAGCGTGGAGCGAGCGAAGGCTGTAGAGAGGGACGTCACAATAAGTGTTAGATTAAAATAATCTAGGAATACGTTTTCACAACATCGCCCACGTGACACCCACGTGATCATATTGAAACGGAACGCTGATCTTGAAAAATTTCAGTTATCTGTTTTAATTAGTCTTACTCTTATGTCCATCGTCTTTTCATGTTGAATTGAATATAGTCTAATGTTAATTATGTTTTATGAATATGTCCTGAAGATGGTCTACTAGACCGAAACGTCCGACGTTGATATTATATTAACATTAAAACTGCATAAATGCATATTAGGATTTTTGTTTGTTTTTTTTCCGTATATTTTTCTTCATATATATATATATATATATATATATATATATATATATATACATATATATATATATATAAATGTGTGTGTGTGTGTGTGTGTGTGTGAATCTATATTTTAACGAAAATAAACAAGCCAAAAACAAAAAACATTAAAAGCGATGCTGTGGAAGAATCGAAAATATCAATCATATAGCATAATTTTCCTCGTGTCGAAAAAAAAATTACTCTTCATACCCCACATTGTGTTTACTTTGCCAAAAACTTCTACAAGGCAAAGCAGAAGCTATCAGAAGAAAAGAAAAAGAAAAGATTATGGCGGCTGTGAAATATCAAGTACTAAATCATCGTAAATAAAATTAAAAACAATTTATGAAACTGTAAACGGACCACTTCAAGCAGAATTTTGAGGGAAATAGAAACCGAATTGAAAAGTCATATAAACATTTACGCGTTCACTGATATTCAACTCGGTTTTGAAGTAACAAGTTGTCAGTTATACCCAACATGAGTCTTTGAAAAGTTTCCAATATAGAAAGAGAGTAAAATGACAAAAGGAAAATTAACTCATATTTATCAGGTAATAACCTCATTGAAACAACAAAAATAAACAAATGGTGCTGGTTTATTAAATAATCTGGTCATACTTTATTACTCGGTGTCATCATTAATATTAAATTGTTTAATAAATTAATAAAAGATTCAAAATGAATAATAAAACCGTAAAACTAGATAGATTTAGAAAGTGTTATTAACTGAAATTTGATTTGAAATTTTAAATGTAAAATATGTCATCAATATAATAAATGTTCATTGTTAAATATTTTGCATTGCAAAAGAAAGTAGATTTAATATTCTGTTTAAAAATGTATGTTCTATGTAAGCCTGTGGAATTAATGGTCAATCTGGATAAACAATGTTTAATACACTAACATTTCATTATTAATATTATTATTATTAGCCTACCCATTCCGTCAAAAATAACGGTAATTGATAGAAAGAATTAATAGTGTGGTGTAATGAAACAAAAGTCTTGAAACAATGTATTGAGATTCAATAAAATGGAGATAAAAAATTCCAAACTAAAATAGAGGCTAATGAATCGTTGAATTAATCCGTTCCCTTTACATTTGGTAGACGTTCAACGGTATCTATGATTCATTGATTACTCCTTTGTATTATATAAATCACATTTTTGCTCAATAAATTTTCATGGTGAAAATTGTTTAATATAATCTGAAAGGGAGCTATCTCTCGAAAGAAAAAGATTAGCAATAGTACAACAAAGGTGACGACACGGCATATTTCAAGATCAATTTCAAGCAAGACGATCGTGTAACAGACAAATGTATTTATGTGCATGAATGGGTTGAACAAATAAGACTGCAATCTAAGAAGCATAAGAGTAAATGAACTGATTAATTGAACTGCACAATTTTAAATGGTACTGATTTTTCTTAAATGTAGATAGATATTCTAAATTATAGACTATTGAAACGAGTTATCACTGATCATGCAAAATTATATGCTTTTCGAGTTTAGGGAGAATGATCGACGCAATGCATCGCCTTTACTATTTACATGCTCAAGCATTTACGAACATCATAATGATATCTCACGATGCTCATAACAGACGACGAGGTACGTGCCATTATATATATATATATATATATATATATATATATATATATATATATGACGATTAACGTAACGCATTAGTGTCTTAGGAGCACTACATGTATTTCAGCGGCAGTAAAATTTGTATGTCTTGGACAAGATTCTTAAGACAAGTGGTGTCAATATGGCCAAACGCCATATCTGAAAACCCAAGAAGAAATTCAATTAGTTTAGTGTTTTTAGATATTAAACATTTAGTATGATGAACAATTATACCATGCTATTACACAATTTTGACAATTTTGATGTTACACCTGATATATATATATATATATATATATATATATATATATATATATATATATATATATATATATATGGAGGCTGTTTATTGTGTGGAATTTAATCTTTAGTTTGTATTCAAAACATTACGCCCCTACATTTGATATTAGCGTTTTATATACATAAAACACTAATTTCCTCTGACTTTATGACGGATCTGATTGTCTCTCATCAAAGTTTTCTATTTTTTTTATTATTCGTGAATTTATATGACT